AACGGTCGCTTGGGCTTGAACCCCGGACTCCTCCTTTTGGGAATGGGGGGGGGCGTCTGGTGATTCTGAGGACCCGGGAGATGGTGGGTGTGGGTGGGTGCTGCTCAGATAACAAGACCGTCTTGGGCTGCCTCTCCCACACCTCTGAGAGCCATAGGCAACCCAAGACGCTCTGCCCCTGATCCGTGCCAGGGCGCACCTCCTCTGAGTTGCCCTGGGGTGACTCTTTGATCTTCCACCTATCTGGGCATGGTCTGTGTGCTGTTCTGCCTCCCTCGCCTGCCTGAGCAGGCTGAGGATGGACGTCGGAAGTGCCCAGCTGGCCAGGCCGTCTTTTCTCTCTGCATCCGCCTTGTTCAGACCACCTTCTGCCCGACCACCACAGGTCCCTCTGTTGCTGCTTGGGGTATAAAGGGTGGGCCTGCCTCATGAGCGCCCCTTTCCCGCCGTGACTGTCTCGGGTCCTGGCTGACCATCGTTGCATCTTGAAGGCTGCAAGAGCTGCCCTCAGCCCTTAGACCTCATATTGACCTCTCACAAAATAAACCAGAGATCCTAAGGTAACTGCAAGCCAGAGAGGGTGGGTGAGTGGGGTTTACTTTTTATTGTGTTTTTTAAGTTTGTTGTTGTTTTTCAGTCTTGCTTTCTCCCCGTTACATCAGACAATGTCAACCCGGTCAAACAGGACATTCACAAAACTGCCACAGACCAGGACTCAAAAAAGCAACATGACCACGGAGAATAAAAAAGGGCATGAAAAGACACCAGGAGGAAGAGGACTTGGGTTTAGCGGGGATCGGAGTTAGTGAGCCAAGGAGAAGAGGAAGTGGCAGCATCTGAGATTTTTTTAAAAGCAACTCACAGAAGGTTGTTTGTAAAATCTGCTTTGATCCACGGAAGGAAGCGGTTATGTTGGCCAGGCCATGCTGCCCTCTGGCGGCCACCTGCTCTGTGCCAAGCGCCCGAGGGGCTGGTCCAAAGCCCCAAAGGAGGAAAAACCCAACCAACCAACCAACCAGCCCAGTGCAGGATATGGCTGGATTCTCAGAGGAAGAGGAGGAAGAGGAGGGAGGTAAAAGTTCTCAACACCGAGCTCTGGGAGGTACAGTCCAGGAAGCTGGGTTTGTTTCACCAAAGCAGAGAAGACGATCGCTGCCTTCCAGTCTCTGAAGGGCCGGCCGGTGGAGGGCAAGGCAGCTTCCTCTCTGTGGTTCCAGAGCGCAGGAGTCCACAGCAGGAAAAGAGGGTCCGAGGAGACGTCGAGGAGAACATTCTGGGGGGCGGGGAACCACTCTTGAACAGAGGCATGGCCTGCTTTGGAAGGGGGCAGACTCTCCTTCACGGCTGATCTTTCAATGGAGTTTGGAGGGCCATCGCTCAGAGAGGTTTCAGCTGTGGATTTCCTGCTTCAGCCGCTGGTTGGGCTCTACGAGGCTCGGGATCCCCTTCGTATCTTACAATCCAGCAGTTCTATGATTCTGTGAAGTTGGGCAACAAGCTCACATTCATTGTGTCACAAGATCTGGGATCTAGGGATCCCTCCCAAGAGTCCGAGGGCTACACATTGGAGCTCAGAAAGGGCTTCTGCATAGATCGTTTTTTTTTGGCCACCTTCTTCCTTCATCACATCCCAAGTGTCAACAAAGTGCTTCCTGGACTGTGGCTCAGACTTTGGTTGCTTCTTGGCGTCTGCCCCAGAGTTCGAGCATGGGCTCCCCATCATTGTTACCAAAGCCATCCTCAGGAGGCCCACCCTTTTCTGCAACAAATCCCATGCGCATGTCTTAAGAGTCCTCATTGCTCCAGGTGTCGCAAATGCACAGGCTGAAACAGTATGTTTGCAAATCCTAAATCACGTTTCTGGCGGAAGCTGTCTTGACAGTTACACCACTGTAACTGTTAAAGAATATACTCAAGCTCTCTATCATGTGCATCATTACCTATGTTACTGGTTACCACCATTGTCATCATCATCATCATCATCCTCTTCATCGTCGTCGTCGTCGTCATCGTCGTCCTCATCCTCATCTTCATCTTCATCTTCATCATAGTCACCAAACTCATCCTCATCATCCTCATCCTCATCTTCATCCTCATCCTTGTATTCTTCATCTTTATGACACTCTG